CAGGTGACAGCATGCAAGTCGTTTCAACGTGTGCTTTTGCTTCCCTGTCGGGTGTTATCGAACAAAGTGGGATGAGAATGATGGCGAAAACCGATCCCATTGTCATTGCCCTTATTTGGAAAAACACGGAATGTGGTTTAAAAGTGTGTGAACACCAACTTGAGTCAAGTCAAGATTTTAAAACCAACTTGAGGTGCACTCGAACAGTTGCTTCCCGAGATTTCAGTGGGGCTCCAACCAGCCTTTATTGGTCATATTAAAAAGTAAATGGGGTACATCAAAAACCAAGGATGATCCAGTCATACAAACGAGCACATTGTTCGAAATTTTTGCCCATTTTACGGTAAGGCCAACGTGTGGACCTTCGAGTCTTTTCCCCCCTGGGGGACGGCTCTCAGGCCACGCTAGGACCCTCGGTCCCCTTCCCTCCCCTGGGGGACGGCTCTCAGGCCACACGGGGACCCTCGGTGCCCTTCCCCCCCTGGGGGACGGCTCTCAGGCCACACGGGGACCCTCGGTCCCCTTGCCCCCCTGGGGGACGGCTCTCAGGCCACACGGGGACCCTCGGTCCCCGTCCCCCCCTGGGGGACGGCTCTCAGGCCACACGGGGACCCTCGGTCCCCTTCCCCCCCTGGGGGACGGCTCTCAGGCCACACGGGGACCCTCGGTCCCCTTCCCCCCCTGGGGGACGGCTCTCAGGCCACACGGGGACCCTCGGTCCCCTTCCCCCCCTGGGGGACGGCTCTCAGGCCACACGGGGACCCTCGGTCCCCTTCCCCCCCTGGGGGACGGCTCTCAGGCCACACGGGGACCCTCGGTCCCCTTCCCCCCCTGGGGGACGGCTCTCAGGCCACACGAAGACCCTCGGTCCCTTCTTTTTATTGGGAGACGTCCTTGGGTGCGCGTTGAGTTGATCCTGTCGTAAATGTAGTTCTCCCGCGCGACCAGTAGAGTCTTTAAAAATGTCTTTCCACACCCGTGGTGTTGAGCCTATTTTTCTGCCACCAAGTAACAATAGGAGCATAGAGATTAATGGAAAATAATCGAAGAGATCATAACGGAAGAAAAACTTAAAACTTAAAAGACTTGCAGCACGTAGGCAACAAATGACGCCCAGTCAAACGACTTAGGCGCTGCAGTAGCAATTTCGTAACTGCCGCTCCAGCGGCCATTTCGTCCCTCGAGCGCTAGTGGCGATTTTGCCACTGGCGCACGTGGCAATTTCGCCACATGCGCGCGTGTGGCGATTTCGTCCCTGGCGCGCGGCACTTGCGCCAGTGGCGATTTCGTCCCTGGCGCGCGCCACTGGCGCCAGTGTCGATTTCGTCCCTGGTGCGCGCCACTGGCGCCAGTGGCGATTTCGTCCCAATCGTGCGCCACTGGCGCCATTGGCGATTTCGTCCCTAGCGCGCGCCACTGGCGATTTCGTCTCTGGCGCGCCTGTTGGCGTTTTGTCCGACGCACTTCGATCTCAGTTGAGCGCCCGCCAGTTACAGTCGCACTCGTGATAGTTTGCCCTTCATGGAAAATCAAGCGCATGGGTTGAACGTGCAAGTGAGTATTAGCTTAGAAGATTGTTTCTAGCGACAAGGAAACGGTCGAGGTGGTTGGACGAGAATTGGACTGAAACTGCAAAGTTCTGAAATGAAGTCGTGGGTGGAGGCCGAATGGCCTCCAACCCTCGTTATGTACTCGGCGAATTGTAATTCGCCGTTGCTTTGCTTCGTTACAAGCAGCTGCGCTTTCACAATACGCATTTTTAGAAAGTGTTACACACTTTCGAAAAAAAATCATTTTTATACAACTGTAATATTAAGTATGTAACTCGTTTTTTTCATTATTACCTTATTATGTATCACCTCTAGTACCGAATATGAAACTCACATGCAAAAGGGGAACGCAAGGTTTGGAGCTATCGACCTTTCGTTTCCACACCAAATCTCTCACCACTACGTCACGACAGCTGTTTGTTGGAACAGGTTCGTGTGATTCCAAATTTTCTTTTTGCGACGAATGTCCATTGCTAGGGTTTCCTTTTTCTCCTTTTCCTTCCTCTCGCCACTCGAGTCTCGTTCCTTCGTGACTCTTCTCTCGTGCAAGCTGGTACGCCGTTTTTCATAGGTATAAATGGATATTAGCCACTTGAACTTCATTTTAGGAGTATGTTAGTCTTCTCCGTGTACTCTTGCTCCCCTAGATCTCTCTCGTTCTGCCGCTTACTTATCATTCTTGCTAGATCTTCAATCTCGCCCATGTTTTACCGTTTCTTATTTCCAGACTCCTTACTCAGTAGTCTGTTCTCTTTCTTCCTTTGTCCTCCGTTCCTACTTCTCGTATGATTCGCGCGTCCTTCATTTTTGCTATCTCTTTTTCACCCCTTCACGTCCGTTCCTTCATGCTCTGTTTTTTGCCTTTGTGTTATTTGATGCTTTATTTCTTGTTCTTTTCCCGCTTGTTTCGTTTGCTCCTGCTATTCCACCCACTTCATCTAGTGGGTCTCCTTCAACTACTATCTCCAGCTAGAAGTGGCTTCTACCGTATCTCCATCTACAACCCTTCACTCCAAGTTCTAAGGTGAGCTTATTTGACCGTTAACTCATCTCTTTCATATGCTTTTCTTTCAACTGACGTCGTTGTCTTAGCGTTCTTTCTCCACCCTACTCCTTCCTTTCGTTTCAATCGCTGTCGCTCTTTGTTTTTCGAGTTAATTGTTATGAATTCCTAACAGAGCGATTTAGTTCTAGGTTTTGTGAAAGCTTAGGGAAACTATGTTTTTATTTCACTACTTTCTACCGTAGATCTTGTTGCCCGTATTCTCTTTTATCCCGATTTACGTATCCTTACTCTAGCATCCGGTATTGGCTCTTATTTGTGTGTGGATGTTTCCTTTAGCGTAGTGTGCTTAAATTTCAACCTTTCTTTGATTTTCTCCCATCCTCTATTCTCCCGTCCACCTCCCTTTTCTGTCTGTGACTTCCTTATTCACTCTATTACCTCTCTTACCACTTTATTCTGAGCGTTCCTCTTTTCTTAATCCTTCTTCTTTAGATCTTGATTCCTTTTAATTTCTTACGCTTCTCCGTGTTTCCTCCTTCGCTTCTGTCCATTTCTTCTTATTCCTTCATACTTCTTGGATTTTGATGTCCGATCTCATTTTCGTGTCAGTTTCTCTTTTCTTCTAATGTAATATTTTCATGCCTGTTTCTTATCTTGATTTCTGCCCGTTCTTCTGTCGCATAATCATTTGTTTGCTTCTGTCTCTGTCGTTTTCCTCGTTTCCAGTCAGTTTTGCTCCAACAAAACCATTTTTTTTTTCTGATTTTAGTTTTGTCTTTGGTTTCTCTCTTTTTCCTCTTCCCTTCTTAGGGTACGTTCCTGTGGAGACACTTGTGTCTCAACCCCCGTTTTCCCGGATCGCGCCTGTAAATTTGCAAAATGTTGTGTCTCAAACAACCAATGAACCTCGACTCTGAGCGACAGATGGGACCGGCCAGGTGGGCGCTTTCTATTGGTGGCGACCACTTGGATTGACCCCGCTGCTGTTTTCCCGCCGGGCATCCCAGTCCAAAAAAGCGCAACCCGCAATGAATGTCGCGGCGGCGTCTAGACACGGTGGATGGTGTTGCAAATGGGTCGAGTCGGGCATCACGGAAACACTACACACACACAGGCTTGTGTTCAACTACAGCAGCAAACACTGGCACAAGTACAAAACCACCACCCCACTAGTCATAATGTGCCTCCCAGTCTAGCATCCATCTCACAGCCTCGCGACGTGCCCTTCTTCATGCGGCTGCTCGTCGCATGGGTCACGTTCTACTACAGCATCTTCATGGACGCCGTCTCCAGATCTGTCGGCGGCTTGCTGGAGGCGAACGTGTTCACCGAGGAAGTGTCCTCGGCTTCTAGCTCGCGTGGCCCCAACCTCACCGCCGAGCGGAAAAGGAGGTCAGGGCTTCGCCGGCGCAGGTACCAGCTGCTGCTAGAGGACCTGGAAGGCATGGGGGAGGAAGAATTCAGGGATTTGTTTCGCATCAACCGCGCAATTCTTGACTACATTGTCAACGGGATGGCGCACTACATGCAGCCCTACGTTGACAGATACTTGATCACGCACGAGGTGGCATGCCTTGTGGCTATCAAATACCTGGCCAGCGGCATGTCGTTTCGAGACCTGTCGGCAGTCTTCGGCCTGTCCAAGACGCTGTGCCACACGCTGGTAGATGCGCTCCTCATGCACTTCCCGACGGCCTTCAAGCAGCAGTGGGTCCACTTCCCGAGCCGTGACGACCTCGATGAGATGGCGGAGGAGTTTCGCGCCATCAAGGGAGTACCTGCGGTGGTGGGGGCTATAGACGGCACACACATACCCATGAAGGGGATGGAGGGGCACAGGCAAGAGTACTACACGCGCAAGTCATGCTACGCCGTGCAGCTGCAGATCACATGCGATGCTCGCGGCATCATTTGGGACTACTTGGTAGGATACCCGGGCAGTGCACACGATCAGAGGGTGTTCATGAACAGCGCGTTACACGAAAGGTTGCACAACGGCGACATTGCGCCATACCAAATTGTGGGAGATGCTGCCTACCCACTCAGGGACTTCTGCCTGACCCCCCTACATGCAACCCGTGAAGGCCTAATGGATGACTGGGAGCAGTGCTTCAACTACTGCCAAAGCGCTACGCGCATGGCAGTAGAGCGTTGCATCGGCGCATTCAAGGGCCGGTGGCGTCTATTCGCGGGCCGCAATGATTGCGTGCTCTGGCGCATTCTTGCAGGGGCGTCTTGTGGCGTCATCCTGCACAACATGTGTGAAACGATGGGAGCGGTTAGGCGGGTGAATGCGTCGTGGGCGAACTTGCCCCGAAATCGAGACCCGTGGTGGACTCGTGGTGCAGTCAGCGAATTCAAGTGGGAGCCGTGCAACCCGTGCACGCAGGCTAATTTGCGAGAACGGCGCAAGCGGTTGGGCGAGGCTCTGGAGTCGTCTTACCTCACTCGTCGGCGCCGCGAACCCACACATCATCGCCCGCATCAGGGTTAGAGGCGTTGTCGGCCGCCTGCCTGCGGCGGAGCCAGCCGTCGTCGCCTCCTTCGGCGGCGGGCGTCGCATGCCCAGGGATGCCGTCGTGGGCAGGCGGGAAGGGGGCGGGCTGCTGCACGCGTTCGCGTGCAATCCGCGCACCCTGCTCCATCCATGCGCGGACGAGGACTTCGATACGATTCATCACGTCGGAGTGGCAGCCCTTGATTGTGTCACACACCAGCTTGGCGGCGGCCACCGTTGCGGTCTCCACCACCCGTGGGCGCTTCGACGTAGGCGTCCCCTGCGGCGTTGGTGCTGCACACGTGAGCCACGTAGAGTTGTATCAGTAGCTGACTAGTGTGTGATATTACGTCACATTTCTTCCCTACCCTAAAACAAAGTTGCACAAGTGCCACACCAAAACGTAAAGGTCCGAACATCAGAGTTGTTGCAAACTCACCGGTGAAAGTCGGAGAAGATGTGCATGGTGCTGATGGCGACGGAACCGCGAAACCGCACGGCACGTTGACGTGAGCCGCGCCACCACCGTCGACAGCGTGTGGGTTACCAACAGCCTTGTTGTTCTGGAATAGCGCCATGTACGGGTACCATGGAGGCTTGCACACCGCCCCCTTGCCGCTCGCCTTCTCCCCCTTCTTGATCTGCTTGTACACGTTAACGAGGTTGCGCCACTGCTTCTGCAGTGCGTTCACGCCGCGGACCCACCCGGGGTTCTCCTGCTCGAGATGACGCACGAGGCGGGCCCAGTACTGGGATCCCTGCTTGCCGAGGAGAGCGCCCAACTCGTCCTTCATGAACCAACGAGCTGCGACGAAAATGGTGCTCTCGCGGGTAGACCACACGCTCCGCCTGACAGGGTTCAGGTTGCGCGTCTTCGACGCGCCACGAGGAGGCTCTCCGCCCTTTGCGGCAGTCTTGGTTCCGGCCGCAGTAGACGCACGGCCGCGACGGGTAGGCGGGGTAGTGGGTTGTGCCTCCTCGGGAACGTCCTCGTCGTCTTCAGCGTCCTCGTCGCCGTCGTCTTCGTCCTCGGAGGGGGACATGCCCTTGTCCGGCTCCTCGCCAGAGTCCGCGTCGTCGTCGTACGCCTCGTCGCAGTCATTGAAATCAGGATCGTCGTCGAAGGCCTCGTCGTCCACGACGCGGGATGATGCAACCCGGTCGGCATGAGGGCGTCCGCGGGTAGGCACGTCACGCGGGGCTTCGAACGAGGTGTCTCCCGCACCGGGCGCACCATCGGGCAGGGGGCCGGCGGGCTTGCGGCCGGCCGCGAGCTGCTTGTTCATCCAAGCGATGTACGGGATCTCGTTGAGATCCCGCGGGCACAAGTCAGCAGTGCTAGCGGCGCTCTTGCGCTTTCGGGCCATGGCTACGGCTGGGAAGAAGGAACAAGAAACAGGAAGGAGAGAGAGCAGGGGTTTGTAGAACAAGAATGGACTGGGGCGGGTGAGTGCTGTCTGCGTAGTTGGAATGGTGTGTTGGAAGTCGGGCAGGGATGTGTCATGACGGTCGCATCCACCAGTCATCTGTCTGCAGGGGCAGGGCGGTTTTCCTTTCCCGCTCGAAAATTGCCCTGTTCGATTGTCAAGGTGCATGCAGTACAGGGTGACATTTCGGGACGCGTGCAATTTCCGCAAGGTGACGGGGCCTCATGTAACTCGTCCGCGACACCCCCGCAATTCCCGCCAACCAATGTAAAATACTGTGTGAATCGAAGTAATGCGGTCCGCGTTTGTGACACACTACGACATATGCTAATTTCCGGTGTCACAAAGGGTTTGAGACACAAGTGTCTCCACAGGAACGTACCCTTATTCTTCCTTCCACACGTGTGTTCTGTGTTTGTTATGCCTTGCCATTTTAATGCAGATTCTGGTATACCGTAGGTGGGATGGAAAGGAGGATACAACCAATAGAGCAATAGTTTAACTGTTCTTAATTATTATTAATTGTTAGATTTCTTGCAAATTTTCTTATGTTTATCATCTGCTGCTTTTCATCTCACTGGTAATGCATGTCTGCATGTTTCAAAGAGAAAACTCATCGGTCATCGTCAAACAAGGATCTGTGGTGCACCACTATGACAGTGAAGCCATTTTGAGCTGGACTTGATCGGTGTAGTTTTTTCTTTGGGATTTGCAGATTGTATTGCTTCATGTCATGTTATTCATAGAACGTTTATACTGCCGTATCTTCCCACCCATGCTAGGCTGGGGAAGCGGCAGCATAGATATCGATTTTTCGTATAACTTGAAACTTAAAACTTTCGACATGTATTCATCGATTCTATCGATAAATACATTCGTCTCTGTTGTGTTGTGAACTCATCAGAGATGGAACAGAAATATAATGATCGTTTTGCTCGATCGGTATATTTCTCCACTTAAAGCCCGCATGCAAAATAGTGACCCCCCTGTTCTAGTTGGGTCCACTTGATATACTGATTCACATGTTTTGTTTGTAGGGTGTAATGTGTTGCAGTTTTTCTTTTTTTCCTGTAAACTCTGAAGGTCTGCAACTACGAATTGCTTTTAAAGATCAAAATGATAACATAGTGATCAGGTTTTAACATAGTGATCAAGATTTTTAATGATTTGAACATGTGAAGAACATGAATATTACGATTAGAGGATAATCTGAGAAAAAACGTGTAGATTTTTTAGAGTTTGGGGAAAATACAGAAATACCCCGAAAAATAAATTTCCTTCTGGTCGATTGCAATAGGTTGCTACGCAACCCAAAAAAAAAAGAGAAAAATCCTAGCCCGCACTGCAGGTTTCTTTAAATGGCATCCTTACCACAGCCCAACGACTGTGCCAAAGCTCCTCTGGATCCTTCCTTCCAACCCAGGCTGCTTTCACAAGTTGCTTCTTGTCCCTTTCCCAAGTTCCTCAGCAGCCTTCTCCCCAGGTGCCTCCTCAGGTGGTGCGGCCTCAGGTGGTTCGTAAGAGAGCGAATGAGGAACAGCAGCTGCAGCAACATGCTCTGAATGGGCAGCAGTGTCACTTGTGGTGGATGGTGGCATGATTACAGATGGAGCAGCAGAAGCAGAGGCATAAGATGCAGGAGGTGGAGGGGCAGTTGGAGGGCAAAGGGTGGCGGTGGCAGGGTGAGAAGCAGGGTTGGCAGCAGCAGCAGCGGCGGCGGCGGCGGCAGCAGAAAGGGTATCCTGAGCGGGCTGCTCCGGAGGAGCATCAGGAGACAGGGGAGTGAAGGTGGAGGAGGAGGAAGGGGAGGATGAGGCAGAGGAGGAGTCTGAGGCGGCGGCGGAGGAGGAGGAGGAGGCTTGGGCAAAGCCCTCACGGTAGCCGAGCACAAACTGCTTGAGGGAGTCAGCATAGGCTGCCACTCGCTCCACGTACCGCTGCTGCAGCCATGGCAGGAGAGCCCTCGCCCCCGCCTTGCCCGCTCCGCCTGACGGGCAGGAGGGAAGAGCGGGTGGGGTGGGGATTGGTCTGGGTGAGGGGTGAGAGGTGAGAGGTGAGAGGTGAGAGGGGAAGGAATGGGAAGAGTGCAGGTGAGGTGACGGTGTTGTGGTGGTGGTTGTGAAGTGGAAGAGAGGCCGACGGCTTTGGTTTCTGATGAGCATGCACATAAGGATCATTACGCGAGGGGACGCAAGAAGCTTTGGTTGTTATACCTGCATGCATCCCACACAGGATCACACACCCACACACCCACACACCCACACAACCACACACCCACACACCCACATGCCCTGGACATGCAAACGACACGGACACGCGACACACAAGCAGAACCCACCTAGTTCTTCCACCAATGTGCCATTGGACCCCGAATCACCTCCTCCCGCCTCCCTCCTCCGCCTCTCCTCCTCCCCAATCTCCTCCACCCCCACGTGCGCCTCCCCATCCCCCTCCTCTGGTCGCGGGGCTGCTTTGCCGCGGTTGAACTCCGCCCTCCAGCTCTCCGCATACGCTTCCCATGCTGCTGCCAGTATCTGCACATGGAGGTGCGAGTGGAAGAGAAAGACACACACAGAGGACTTTTGAGGCGCTTCAAAACTCGCGGGGGTGCTGTGCCGCGATTGAACTTCGCCCTCCAGCTCTCTGCATACGCCGGCCATGCTGCTGCCAGCACCTGATAATGGAGGTGCCGTGTGGACGACACAGAACGAGAGAGAGAAGAGGAGGGTATGGGAGGAGGGAGGGTATGAGAGGAAGGGGCGTTCGCATACCTGGCCTCGGTCATTTCCTCTGCTCACCTGCTGCACTCGTTCGGCGACACGGTGCACCCCGCCATCGCCCTTATGCTGCCGCTGATGGACGCGGCCGCGGACTCACCCTCGGTCCTGCCAAGGTGCCTTGCTGCAGCTGAAGCTGAGCTGCCGCCGGACGGTCTTGAAGCTCTGCAGGTCGGCCGGCGCGACCCTGAGGGACCGAAGCTACAGCAGGCCTTGTCGCTGGCCGTCCACACCGCTTGTTACATCGAGCTGCTCGATGCCTCGCGGGAGATGCCCCTGAACCCGCTCTTCGGCCATACACAACGCCTGCAGTCTCTCCTCGGCCCTGGGGCAGGAGATTGGCTGCTAGCCATCCCACTGATCCCGGCCCTTCGGCTAGGCCCGTCGCAGCACTCCACCGCGTCCTCCTTCCGCCTAGGCCTCCCCCTTCCCGTCCCACGGCGTTGCGACTGCCGCTACCGCACGACCTTCCCTGACCACCGCCTTCCCAACCACCTTATGCGTTGCGAGAAGGGCGGGGGGAGGATTGCCACTCACCACGCCCTTCGTGATGAGTGTGCAAAGATCGCAGCGGAGGCGGGCTACACGGTGCACAAGGAGTCTACTGTATACTCACCGGTTGAAAACCTCAAAGCGGATGTTTGCATCCGCCATCCCGACACCGGCGAGGTTCACATGTGCGACATCACCGTCACGGACCCGGTCTCCCACCAGGATGAGCTTGCGCGGAAGGCGCCAGGGTGGGCTGCAAGAATGCAAGCGGCCAAGAAGGAGGACAAGTACGCGCGGCGGAACGCGTGGGTAGGCTTTCATGCCATGGCAGTCGAGACGTACGGTTACCCGTCCCTGGGAGTGCACGCCTTCCTTCGCAGCTGCGCCGAGCTCGCGGGCAAACGGCGATTCAACGCCGCGCCGAAATCAAGGGAGGTGGCCAGGCTCCTCATGGAGTACCGGCAGCGCTGGAGTGTGACACTCCAGCGCGCCCAGGCCAACGCCCTCCGCGACAAGACCCACGAGGCCATTGCCGCGGATGAGCTCGGCCTGCAGGGCCCGTTCGGCAGCCTGGGGGAGGAGCAGCTGTACCAGCTGCTGGAAGACCCCACAGGCCAGTAGGGCCGTGGGGAGGGAGGGGTAGAGGAGGGATGAGCAGCGGTTCCGTTGTGTGTTTGGTTGTTGGTTTGCTTGTCTACCATGTGATTGTTTAGACTAGCTTAGCACCCATGTCTGCTCCTTGACGATATTAATACGAAGGACCGTTCGAGAAGAGGAGGGTATGGGAGGAGGGAGGGTATGAGAGGATTAAGGTTATGGGAGGAGGAAGGATACGGGAGGAGGGAAGGGTATGGGAGGTGAAACGTGTGATGGGTGAGAGAGGGGTAGGGCTCATTCACGTGCAGAGAAAGAGAGGCTGGGAGGGTGGTATGGCAGGTGGATCGGGGATAGATGCAACTGCAAACCACCCTCATCAGCCTTGCCTTTCCTCCTCTCCTGCTTCCCTAGCCTTCTGCAGACCGCGGTTATCCTTACCTGACCACTTCCCATCAACCTTTTCACCCCCCCAGTCTCCCCCCCCCCCCCACTCCCTCCCCAGGTCCCCCCCACCAGTTCCCCCACCAGTCCCGCCACCCTACCCCACCTGGCGGTGCTCGTGCAAGGTGAGGCGGCGCGGGGGCGGGAGGGAGGAGGGCGGGTCGGGCAGTGAGGAGGGCCAGACGATTTCGCGCAGGTCGTGGCGCACGTAGGCGCGCGCCCGCTGCAGCAGCCTCTGCAGCAGCGCCGCGCGGTAGGGGGAGAGGCCGAGGGGCATTGGGGGAAGGGGGGAAGGGCGCGTGGGCGGAGAGGAAGTACAGCTGCGGGACGGGGAGAGGAGCGGGGGGGGGGGGAGGGAGGGAGGGGGGAAGGGGGAAAGGGGTGGGAGAAGGAAGGTGGCGGAGAGGAGAAGGGAGCGTGTGAGCGGGGAGAAGGAGTGGAAGAATGGACATGTGGTATTGGGAAGGGGTAATGGTTGTGCAGTGATGCATGTGGTGCAGTGCATATGATGGGAGGTAAGAGCAGGAGCGGAATGAGGGACGAGTGGGTGGGAGGCAGGACACAGGCAGAAGAGCCTGAGTGAGGCACGGTGCAAGCATAGCGGCACACAGAAAGGAACTGGAAAAAATCGCTGGTGCACTTTTAGACGGCTCGGATAGATGCTACTAGCGTCGCACGTTCATCCTACTACCTCACCTCACCTCACCTCACCTCAGCTCACCTCACCCCACCCCACCCCATCTCACCTCACCTCACCTCACCTCACCTAACCTCACCTCACGAGGAGCCTGAGTGGCGGCCAATAGCGCGTGTGGGAGGCACAGCCTTGCAGGTCACATCCACAGGGGCAGCTGCGCGCCAAGCCCTCATGTCACAGCCCCGCGCCACCTCTCCCACTGCAAACACTCTCTTCTCTGCACTCCTCTGCACCACTCCAAACTCCTATAGGGCGAAGTTGAGAAATACCAGAGCGTACGAGCAACCCTGAAGCAACCGAGCTACCTGAACCAAGCCGATGCCACCCGGAGCAACCCAGAAAGGGAGAGAATCAGATAGGCTATTGTCCAATCTCTCGTGAGAAGGAGCGTCAAGCGTTTCGGTGCGTGCAGCTACTGTTCATGATTCATCCACCTACTGCCCTGCTGCCAGCCCCTCTCCTCCTGCTCTGCCAGCTCGTCCTCTTTCCGCCACTGCACTGCTGCTGTCCACCCCGACCCTAGGCGCACTGTCCGTTGGTGCCGCTGCTATCCCTGCTGCTGCGCCGCCGGTTGTAGGCGCTCCCCCCTCTGCTTCTCAAGCTGCAGCTGTAGCTCCCGCTCTTGCCGGCGGCGCTCCCTCTGACCGGGAGAGAGCGACACGTGGGGGAGGAAAGAGAGGGGGGTGGGGAAGACGGGTGAGACCGGGGGAGACGGGGGAGACGGGGGAGACGGGGGCGACGGGGGAGACGGGGGAGACGGGGGCGACGGGGGAGACGGGGGAGACGGGGGAGACGGGCGAGACGGGGACAACGGGGAAGACGGGGGAGACAGGGGAGACGGAGGAGACGGGGGAGACGGGAGATAAGAGATCGGAGACCTGTGCTGCATCGGGTGCGGCTCGAAGCGAGACTCGCAACGGCCAGCATCGGATGCGAAAGACCGAGTGCGATATCGGAGGCGCTTGGATTCGCGTCGCGACAGAGTCTGATCAGTGCTGTTTAATAGGGTAGATTAGTCGACAACGACGACGACGACGACGACGACGGCGGCGACGACGACGACGAACACGACGCGTGCGAGCAAGGAAGCACGGACCTGGCGCTGCCAGTACGGCAGGTCGCAGACGAAGTCGTAGGCGGAATTCGCGGAGCACCAAAGCGCCGCGTTCAGCGCCACCACGGCCACGGCGGTCGTCAGCGGGCGCTTCGTCACTGGCATGGCACGCGCACGAGCGGACGTGGCGCGGAAGAGGGGGAGGTAGCGGATGTGGGCGCTGGGATCATGTGCTTCTGCTGGTGTCTGTTGTATGGGAGGTAGCGGATGGGGGGGCCTAGTGGAAGAGTATTTACCTTAGAATAATGTATCCACCTTGGTTGGCTGCAAGAGCAGAGCTGCTGATTGCTGATTGCACAAAAGAGATCCCAGATTGACGTCCAATATCAACCAGCACATTCTAATCACGAGTAGAAAAAAGGCACTTGAACTTGCAGACATGATGTCATTCTATACAAAGATGTAAAGGGCAAAACTCTTGTAAGTCATTTATTGTGGACTATAATCCATAGACTCGGTTAAAACAGAAACTATGTTTTACACAATCACGGGGAGCTGCTTATGCGGGAGACCTACTTCGGCGCTTCGCCGTTTCAGCCCGCTGATTTCTCCAGTTTTTCAGGGGTTTCAGCCACATCACCATACCCTAAGCCCTTGCGAGCGAAGCTCAACCCCACAATTCCCGACACCAACCCCCGCCAGCCGGGGGTTTAGCCCGTGGGCGTTCGGAATTCGGGTCCTACTGGCCAGTCTTCCTCCCCAGGCGAGCCAACCAGCTGACCTGATCTTGCTTGACCTTCCCCCTTACCCGCGCGCAAGCGCAACTTCGTTATACTGCCCGCTGTGCTTGTTCCCCCCACACTGCCCCCAATCCCCGCCCCAGCTCTGTCTTCTCTGGAATGAAGGCCAGTGGTGCGCGCATTCAGGTTTCAGACGAATTACAAGAGCCAAGGGAGCCCTACAACATCGCACTCTTTCGCTCCCAGCATCAGTTTTATTCTGTGCCTAACCGTTCCGCTTGCCTGTGTAGCGTCATATACGTGATCTATAGTTAACGCCATTATTTGTACGAATCGTCGCACATTCAACCGCACCTCTCAAAACCGTCGCTTTGGTTCGCGCTCATGGCCGACGAGGCAGAGGAGCACGAGGTGTACGGCGGCGACATTCCCGAGGAGGCGGAGGGCGAGTATGAGGGGGATTTGGAAGGGACCGGGGAGGAAGGCGAAGGCGCTGCGGGAGCCACCGCTGCAGCTGCCGCAGATGGCGCTGGATCATCAGGCGGGGCGTCTGGCGCAGCATCTGGAGCCGCAACAGGCGGCGAGGGCGGAGAAGATGCCGCGGCAAAGGTGCGGCTTCCTCCCCGCGCTTGCGCCGCCTCCCCTGATTCGTTTTCATCACGTTTTGCTCTTTGCCTTCTTTTTGCCTTTTGTAGTACATCTCCGATTGTGTTTTTTCTCTTGATTGTGTTTTTTTTTCTTTTATTTTCTCCTTTTGGTCGCCAACCCGGGTTGACCCGTGTCGTGGCTGTCGCGCGGGTGGTGTGCGGCGGCAGGAGTTGGAGGAGATGAAGAAGCGGTTAAGGGAGATGGAGGAAGAGGCGGCTGCGTTGCGCGAGATGCAAGCCCGGGTCGAGAAAGAGATGGGCGCAGTTCCAGGTGAGCTCGCGCTTTAACACCATCGTATCATATCCCGCGCGCTTCCTTCATCCCTTCCGCAACTCGTTCATGCCTCTTCGCCTTCTTAAAGAAACCGTCGAAAACACCGTGCTATTCAACACATGAGGGAGAAAGGGGCTACTGCTTATTATCCCTGGCTTCCATGATTCATCCCGTGAATTCCCATGGCAGAGGGAGGTGACCCCAACGCCGTCTCTCAAGCCAGCAGGGAGGAGGCCGACGCTCGATCCGTGTTCGTCGGAAACGTACGTTTTTTCTCATCTAGATCATCCCTTCGCTGTAATCCTTTTCGGGACGCTATCGCGATTCTGTTGTGTTTCTTACCTGCTCGTCGACGTGGCGTTATCGCAGTACGGGCGGCGACAATCGCAAACGTCGCCGCGTCTCCCCGGGTGCCGCCGTCGTCGTCGTAGTAGGCATCGTTTTGGGCACTGCGGTGTCTAGGCGTCGCAAGAACACGCACAGAAGCCTTTGTGCATATCCGTGCGTGTGTCCCGTGCGTGTGCGCAGGTGGATTACGCGTGCACGCCCGAGGAGGTGCAGCAGCACTTCCAGTCGTGCGGCACCGTCAACCGCGTTACCATCCTCACCGACCGATACGGCCAACCTAAAGGGTCAGTCCCGCGCTAACCATCGCCATTTTGTCCAGCTTCCGCGCTAGGGTTTTCCGATCTCGTCATGTTGGAACATGACCAGCTGGACCAGAACGATATCTCCCCGCTACAAATGTCGTTTCGTTTTGTCTTTCTACTAATCTATCCATAATCTATCCCTAATACCTAATCCCTAATCTATCCCTCTCCCCCCTCCCCCCCCCCCCTTTTTTTCCCGGCCCCATCCTCCGTTCCCGTCTCCCGCGCGGCCGCCGCGCAGGTTCGCGTACGTGGAGTTTTTGGAGGTGGACGCGGTGCAGAACGCCGTGCTGCTCAACGAGTCGGAGCTGCACGGCCGGCCGCTCAAGGTACGGTTCGCCGGGGTAGTTCGGGATTAGCCGCACGCCGTGACGCGGGGTACGTTACATCGGGTCTGGGGCGTAGTGGCGAGGGTCAAGCGCGTGGAAGGGGCCGGGGGGGTGTGATGTTCTTAGAGGTCAAGGTATGTGACGTGCGGTGAGGATGAAAGGGGGGTGTGTGGCCAGCGGAACTGGCGGTTGTTTTTTCCACCTTGCAATTTTGCCCACTGCCTTTCTCCTCCGCTTCCGTAACCCCCTTTTCATCCCCCCGTCCCGCCTCCAGGTGGTGGCGAAGCGCACCAACGTGCCTGGCATGAAGGCGCACAGATTCCGCCGCCCCGGCTACCGTCCCTTCCGCCCGGGAGGACCAGGCGGCTATGGGTACGTGCACACGCAGCGCTGCTGTTCTTGCTAGCGTTGCCCGCTGCTCTGACTTACCGCTGCTGAACCACACAAGCATCACTTCTTGGCGTGGCCAAAGATCTATTAGGCTTCCTAAACCTGGGCTGCCTCTGGGATCTGTACCCGCCCAGTACTGGGTTCTTTATGTTACCGAAGACGTGATTTTTCAGATCTCTTTTGCATTACCACCCCCCCACCGCCCCCTTATGGTGCTCACTTTTCTTCTCCCTTTCCCTTCCCCGCGTTGCCCCCCCTCCCCCCCTTCCTTTCCTCGCTGTGCGTGCAGGAGGGCGCCTCGCTTCCGCCGTCCCTTCCGCTACCGCCCGTACTACTGAGAAGCCTGTCCTCACACCCATCACCCCGTGCGGTGTAGTTACATGGAGCCAGAAAAAGTGTTCATGGCGGACGGGCTGTGGGCTTGGCTGTACTGACTGATTTCGTGGCTGTCACTGCTTCAGGGTGGATCCGTGTGGCACTTCTGGGGACGCTTTATATGGGAGGGGCTGGAAGGGTGGGCACTTGTTGCTTGCTCAAGGAGACTAGGGCGTGTGAGTGCAATGTAGAGCTGCAGATGCATGGGGCATTGGATGGTGACTGGAAGACTGCTACGGCTGCTGCTGCCACTTGTAGAGAGGCCTAGCTACTGTGTTGATGGCTGACATTTTTCAGAAAAAAAATGGGGGAAAAAATAATGGTCACAAAAGAGGAAAAAAAAAAGCCCGAAAAAAAAACTTTAGGGCAGAACCCCCCCCTTCACTAATTGCTAGGTTGAGAAAACTTTTAACTGTGACAGGTATTTTTGATCGGTTAATTTATTTGCGTTTTAAATTTACCTTCTAATACCAGTACATGTCAGAGAACGAGACATACAAAAGAGGAATATTCTAGTAGGCCATTGTGTTGGGCTGAAAAGCCCTTAGGATCTTTGCAGGGGTGAACTCTGGGTAGAGTTGGTGTAGTAGCGGAAGCGTTAATTAAAGGGTTGTGAACCACCTTGCGCTAGTATGCGAGGGCAAAGTAAGTTGATTAAAGCAAAGAGATACAAGATTATATAAGAGTACAAGGAATACGAAGAGATACGGTTGCAACTACTTTACTGTTGCTGTTGCGGTTCGATACAGTGACGACTCGGGCAACTGCTCTGTAGCGAGTCAGTTGTGTGTCCTTGCTGTCGCGCTGTACTTGTCAGGTCAAAGGTTGCTGACCTTTGACTTTCGCGTAACCTCCGACAGTTACTTCAACCTCCGAGGGTTGACTCGCTGGTGCTTCGATAGTGTTTTGCTTCGCTTGTGTCTTGGTGTTTCGACACGACAGAGGCGCTTAGGACCGATTGTTTCCAACACTCCCCTTCGCTTCTGGAGTGTCGCTGACGTGGCTCTGTCCAGTCAGCAGCATGCAGTATTCGAACTTCTGCTTTCCGAGCTTCTTGGTCAGGTAGTCAGCTGCCATCTCGGACGTGGGACAGTATGACAGCTCGAGCCTTCCCTTCTCGATCTCATCCTTCACGAAGAACTATCGCAGGGCGATGTGTTTCGTCCTGTTCGCGAAGCCGTTCTTGTTGGTGATGCGAATTGCCGACTGGTTGTCGCAGAACAGGGTAAAGTTGGGTAACTCGGCTAACTTCGCTTCTTCCAGCAGCTCGCGAAGATAGAGTCCTTCCTCGGTGGCTGAGCAGAGTGCAATATATTCTGCTTCAGCTGACGAGAGAGCAATTAATTCCTGCTTGCTCGATTGCCAAGAGATAGGTCCGATAGGTTCGAGGTGGTAGATGTAGCCGGTGCGGGAGCGCCTATTGTCGGAGT